TTTTTTTTTTTTTTTCACGTATATCTTCCATTTTATTGTGCAGATTGTTCTTATTTCTGGTGAAACAGGGTCTGGGAAAACAACTCAGGTAATTAACATATTTTATTACATAAACACTAGTGAAATACCAAGATTTCTCCTTTTACTAAAAAATCATACCTTCATCGCGTGCAGTGAAGGTACTATTTTTATCTTTCATGTGTGAGGATATTGGTGTCGTCATGGTTACTAACATGATAATGGCTTAAACTGAACTTAGATGTGTTGCTGTGTGATTGAAACATCAGATTTTCCTCAGATATCTACGGTTATCTTCGGAAATCTTCGGAAATTTTCGGAAAATGTTTGGAAACATTTGTCTGGCTTGCGGACAACTTTTGGAGAATCTTCAGAAATCTTTGGAAAGTTTTCAGAAATCTTCGGAAAATTGTAAAAAAATTTGTCATTAGCATGTTTATATAATAAATTACGTACCCTCTTGTGGGTACGAATTTTATCTTCTTGTGTTCAACTCGATATCTCACTCATTCGCTGCGCTCACTCGTGAGATATCGAGTTGAACACTTCAAGATAAAAGTCGTATCCACATGCGGGCATGTAATATCCTCTATGTATTTTTTAACCATTTCAGTTCCAAGTTCAAAACGATAATTCCTCACACTGATGCTCATGCTCTTCTAATGCGCGTTCTGAGAATTTGGTGATAAATCAAGACTGCAATAATTATCACTTAACTGATGAGTTTCTATCATCACCTGTCTGCTTGTAATGAATTGGTATTGTAAGAGGAAATAAGACTTTGACCACTCCTGGGAATTAGAGATTAGACTAACAATGAGTAAAGATCTACTGACTAACAAAAGGCAGGGTTGTGCTTTAATAATTATTTTTTGTGTCATTTTTTTTTTCTAAGCAGTTTGATTTTTATGGTGCATTGCCTCATTAATATTCATCATCATAATCTGAAACTAAAGGAAATAGAATAAGTATTATAAATTGGTTCAAATTTTTATGCTCCTTG